AAGTGATAATGTTCAGGTAAAGATGAATGATTGCATTTCATTTCCTCCAAAATATGTGATAAAAGATAAAGCTATACAGAAAGATTTATAAGTTCTTTTTCCCTTCCCTTTACAGCATACCATCATACATAGCGAGATTTTCTTCATCTCCAAATACAGGTATGAAAAGAACCTCTGGAGTATTCTTAGAGAAGATAAACTTTCAGAAATATGTAGAAAAAAAAATCTTTAATCAGAATCAAAATGAATTTTGCCAATAATAATATTGTATGACTACAGAAGAACATTTTAATCCTTCTGGAGAAAGACATGAATGTGGATGAAAATATTTTTTTGAGGTTCTTACAATTGGCTATATTTCATAACAGAGTATTTAGCAAGTTTCAGGAAGCTTTTTCCCTCTCTCTTCATCGTTCCCATTGATTTTATAGTTCCTCTGTTATTAAAATTACAGTTTCCACACACTCTTATACATTTTTGTTCTTTTGTTCTCAACAATGTCATTTCAGGACAAATGCTGTGTCACATGATGTTCAGTATAACATTAGCACCCCAAGGAAAATGCGACTAAAATTGTAATTACTAAAACAGCATAGATTAAAAGGATCAAAATGACAAGTATTTCAAAAGCACATCTCTTACTTATTGGGTTTTGCATAAGAGGAACATAGTTATTGTGGTATTTTTGACCTCCTCAACAATCTTAGGATGCATTTACAATTTAAATGTCAACTAATATAGTTTTATATTCTGATTCTCAAAAGAAAGAAGAATATTGTTTTGTGGGCAAGTATCCCATTATTGTTTTCCATGAGTATTCAACCACACTGATGAAGCAGTTAGACTAAATAAGATGAAAGCTTAACTCCACTTTAAATATGTTTTGTGTGTGTGTGTGTGTCTGTCTGCCTGTCTGTGTTAAAAAAAACCCTCCAGTCCCTATTATGCACCCAAAGCACTCTCTCCTTTTGACATGGGTTGCAACATACATGAAATGGCGGGGCTTCATTTCACAATGAAGTTTTTGATGTCCTTCCTGACATGCTACATATAACATACTGGTAGTCTGCACAGTAAACTTATCAGCAGCTTGCATTGGCAGTAATACTATTTTGACTGTGTTTAAAGGCAATCACCCATAAATTAACTCCGAAGAAAACCACCCTATCCCCATTAATATTCCTAGACGCAAGCAAGGGGAATCTACAAATGGTGCTAAAAATTCACAGACATGAAATATTTGCATGATCATTTTTGTTACATCTCCTTTGAATAATTCCAGGCGTGTGCCAGGCATTCAAGTCTCTCTTCCCAGCCACACTAGCATATTAGTTAAAAAGTAGGCCCGCAGCTGAATTACCAAAATGATGGCTGACAACATTTCAAGCTGATTTTCAGATTGGCCTGATTGGCTGCGTGGCACCAGAAAGCTTGAGAGCAGATTGGCTCTTTTCGCAGATGTTGCTAGGACTCTTGTTGCTAGGATCTGGGTTCTCTCCGAGACCGGCAGAAAACACGTAATGAATTATGGATGGTTGATTTTTTTCAGAGAGGACTGAAATGTAATGCAGATGAGCTTCAAAGAACCCCATTTTTCCTGAACCATGAAAACAACAACAACAACAGAGTTTTAAATTGGGCGTTTGCTAGTGCCCAGTCAGGAAAGTAAGTCTTGAACACTGACCTTAATTCATACTCAAAATGAAGGCCAAATCTATTATGTATTCAAGAGAAACATGTAGAATTCATATTGAACTCTAACACTACTGGCTCTATTTCTAAAATTTACTAATTTTACTGTTCCTGCTGTTAGGGCCGGTGTATTAATCAGGAATGAAATGAAATCCTCTAGAGAGCAGTGTTATTCTCAGCTGAGATTCCAAATTTTCCATCTGGTTGCAAACCAATTAGCAGAATTTGTACATCCTTGGTGTCTTTAGTTGACTAAATTGTGCCCAAATGTGACCTTGGATGTTTGCAGTGCCTGTTTTGATCAATAGCCAAAGAGTGATAAGTAGCTTTTTCTGCATTTTAGAGCATTTTAACAATCCATGGAAGCATTCTTTCTGACCTGGGCAACTTTGCAAAACATCTGTTTCCAGTTTATGGGAATAGGATTTTCTCCAGTGGTTTATTATTATTATTATTCCATGTTTGTTACATTATACATTTTTAGATTTTTGGGTGTCATTACTGAGGCCTGGTGTGTTTAAAATGGTGGATATGCTGTATTTCAGTACTTTGGAAAACTATCAGTTTTTGCCCCCAAACTGATAACTAAAACATGCAGGAACAATATGGGCCATTCCAGGGCTTAGGGGCAGAGCTGGTATTCAGGCAGTTCGTACCAGTTCAGGCGAATCGGTAGCGGAAATCGCGGATGGGCCCACCTACCTGCCCAGGCTCTATAACAGCCTATTTAGGCACGTTTTCAATGCCGGGCGCATGCACAGGAGGTGCACGAGTGAGCAAAGCGCATGTGTGGAAAACCAGGTGCATGCGCGGAAGGTACGCATGGGCGAAGCGAATGTGTGCACGTGGGGTGAACCAGTGGTATGAATATTGGAAACTCACTGCTGCTTAGGGGCAATAATAGCATGTGGGAATGTACTTGGGAGACAATAGAAAGAGCTGCAGATTAGGTAACGGACAAAAAAGAGGCAACTGAGTCCACAGAAGGAACGGGGAAATGGCAATTGCCTCAGAAGGGACTCTCTCTGCTTTCTTGGACTCTAAAGCTGATGGGTAAGAGATGTATTATCTGTTCCTAGAATTCTGTTAATGTAATGTTACAGTAAAGATAAAGCTAGTAGTACGGATCCACTTCCTGTCTACTTGACTACAGGCTGACGGGAGAGAAGAACATGGATGGTGGCCCAGAATCCTATTTTGTTGTTTGTTATGTATCATTCTATGACAAGCCATGTCCAATATGGCAGCCACATGAAATATTGTAAGAGTGTTTGGGTTATCTGTTCCTTCAGGAAACATTGAAACCAAAGATGTCAGAAATTTTAGGGGATGTTTAACCTTTTTGAGAGATAGAAGTGATCACCAAATGCTTCTCCATCTTGATTGTGGGCCCTCATTGTCTCCTGGTCTGGCACTTGACTGGTGGGGATTCTACTTTCTGCTTGGAAATTTAGGGGCCAAGTTTAGGGGAGAGATTTAGTTAGCACCATAAACATTTTGGAAAGTACCCTATTTTTCAGAATATAAGACGCACCTTAGCTTTTGGGGAGGAAAATAAGAAAAAAGCTGATTGGTGGGTGGATCGGCCTCACAGAATACCCCCAATCAGCTGTTCCCAGAGGTGAATTTTAGCAACAGATTCGTTAGTTGTGAGCTCCATGCCTTGCTTTTTTTCTCCCTCTGAAACTTCTGAAACATTGTTTCAGACAAAACTTTTTTTTCTGCCTCTGAAAGCCTCCGAAACAGAGTTTCAGGAAAAAAAAAGGCTTTTTTTCTGAAACTCTGTTTGGAGGCTTTTTTTCCTGAAGCTTCTTTCAGAGGCTTTTATTCTGAAGGACTATCTGTACTCTGTTCAATCTCCTTTCTTTGGTATTGGTATGTAGATTAACCTCTTCTAATCTGTTGGTTATTGTGTCACTCTCCAGATTTATTAGCATAGTTTGCTTTACCTTTACTGATTCTTCTTTTGTTGCTTGCCATATTATTTTAGATAAAAGCCTTTCAGAGGCTTTTTTTCTGAAACTTCTTTCAGCCTCTGAAATCTCTGTTTGCGAGGATGGGCAGGGCTACATTAGGAGATTTTCACCCTTTTTTATGGGGAAAAAGATGTGTCTTATACTCTGAAAAATATGGTACATTTGCTACATATAAACCAAAGCACCAGGAAGAAGGACTATTTAGAACTCATCCTTAAATGTCATGGGAAACCAATAAAAGGACCAGCTTCAGTGTAATTGGACATTACACTGCAAGATAGGATTAATTTCAGAATTATCCCCTTGAGACAACTGATGCTATTAACATTATCAAAGTAAGCTACATTAGAAAACACTACACGGACTATGTTCTAAAAAGTGAAAAATATAAGTGAAACAATACATGACTCCAGGATCTGTAAGATGCTATAAAATATGAACCAAAAATGCCTGTAAAGGTATAATTGATAACACTAGAAATTATGAATAAATCAAATAAAATTAATATATAAATAATCAAATAAAATTATAAATCTATTGACTTAAAGAGTATAAAACAGCATATATACATACACATTGCACATATAAATAAGCCAACACACCCAGACACATAAACATACAGAGATTTTGCTTATAATACAGAATATTCAAATTTGTTCCAGAAACACTGAAAAATAAGAGTATTCTGAATGCTGATTTCCACTACCCATTAATACTTGTGACATTCTAATGGCAGGCAAAACAGACTGTGTGTTGCTAGCAGCAAAACAAAGACAGCTAGAGGTGAATTCTAAGAAAAAAAATAGTGCACAACCTCTAATGGGTATTGTTTTTATTAGATACGAGCAAGTAGAGAGTGTTTATAAATATCTCTAGTATTTATACAAATAATATTATTCATTCATTCACTCACACTGGAAATAATAGGTTGAAATACATTCTTGCTGAGATGCTTACTAGTTCCAAACTAAGCAGTGTTTTATTGCTCCTTTTATGTAGGCACCATTTTGTTAGAAATCAAAATTGCTAGTATTTTTTTTTTAAGGCACCACGGTTGTTCATCTTGAGAGATGCTAAAGTTGCCATCCTCCAAACTGCTTTGAGTTGTGGATGCTATAAAAGATTATCCACAAATCTTCCCCATCATAGGCAGGATACAGCCGGAGAAAGGTAGAACAGATCTTCATCAAGAGGGAAGCAATATGGACAGCCATTAAATGGCCTCTATGGAGAATATTATCTGTCTTTCAGGTAGAAGAGGTCTTAGCTGCTTACATTCTGTGTAAGAATGGGGGGAGAAACAGAATCAGCACAATGGACTTTGAACATGAAATTATTGCCTCTTGAAAAATTTACAATGTGATGAAACTGAATGGTGGTCTTAGCAGAAGAGGCTTGGCACATTGCTCTACTATATGCATTTTAGGCTTTTCTTCAGTCTATGATAAAATTTTCCAAATTCAAAGAAAGATTGGAAAGATGTACTGCTTCAGTCTGTAATCACACATCAACATCAATCTGTTTTTAGCTGGCAGGTAAGATATTTAAAATGCTAATTTAGCAACAATGCAATTTTGGGCACCCATGATTTCAATTTAGTGTTGTTTTCTCTTGAATATCTAACTCAATTTCTTCCCTCCTTTCAAGGCGCTATAATTTGACATTTCTTTTTGAAGGATTTTCAAACCATTTCAGTTCAATTCCATTTTATTTATGGCCAAAAGGTCCAAAAGTTCAAACAATTTCTTTGGCTCTTGTTTTAAGATTGGAGAGCACAAGTTGTATATTAAATCTGGCATCCTGAAAACATTCTCCTGTTTTGTCCTCCTATTAGGTCCTTAGCACAACTTCAACATTATGAAATCTTTGAATAGCATGGATCATTTCACTTTGAGATACATAGGAGCATCTTAAGCATTGGAGAATGGCTTAAACCAGTGTACCTGAACCTTGGGTGAAGTCCAACAAATGGGTGGACTTCAAATCCCAGAATTCCCCAGCCATGATCTAAGAGGCAGGACAATAGTGGTATCAGTTGAATCTTTACTCTCCTTTGCTGGGTCAGAGGTGCTGGGTCACCTCCATCCAAAAAGGTCTTAAACACTGGTCACGTGGAATTGATTTTTGAGTAATATCTTTGCTTAATACACTAGTAACACTGCTGTCATTACTGATAAGCTGAAAATAATACAGTTAGATAAAGGAAGAATCCTCTTTGCTGATTAGCTATGTATTTTGGACTGGATATTTTAGTCTAGGTCTCTGTTTTAGCTATATTTGATTTTAAATATTAAGATTGTATTATGCACATTATAATTTACTTTTGACTGGGCAATGACGCATTTTTCTCTATTCAGGTATATTTTCCTGCCTTAATATCTATCTTGTATGAACTTCATCTTATCAGCTATCCATTACCATCTCTGTACTAAACTATCTTAATACCAATTTCCAGACAGACAATGTATAATTTAACATGTATATTTCTGGGTTTGGGGAGCAAGAAAGAACGGCAAGGGTCAGTTGGATCATCTTTTGCTTTACTTCTTCCAGCTGAAAGATTTCAAACTGACAATCTCGTAAATTGGTACTTGTCAAAATGTGATAATTTGCCATTCAATGGCTCTGCTAAAATCCTTCACTGGCATTGAGCACTATTTCTCCACTCCCACCTAATTGTCAGTCAAAAATATTTTCTTGGATCTGCTTTTTGAAAAGCACAAATTTTTTTTTTTTTTAGTTTATTTAAATCTAACTTTCTGTTTTCTACGCAAAAGGCTGTGGGACCAAATATATTATTGTTCACTTTAGCAATTGAGCTAAAAGTCCTGTGGGTCCAGTGGTGAAATCTAAAATTTGTTACTACCGGTTCTGTGGGTGTGGCTTGGTGGTGGTGGGGGTAATGTGACTGGGTGGGTGTGGCCAATTTTTTTTTAACTTTTAAAACCATTTTTTCTACAACCTCTTCGGCGAAGAGGTTGTAAACAAATCCTTTCAAAAGGCTCTGACAATCCCAGCTGAGTTGCCTGATCAGCAGAGGCTTTTTTAAAAACTCAGCTTGGATCGTCAGAGGCATTTAAAAGAAAAGAAAGGGTTTTTTCTATTAAAAGCCTTTGACAATCCCAGCTGAGCTGCACGATCATCAGAGGCTTTTTTTTTTACTTTTAAAAGCATTTTTTTGCCGAAGTGGTTGTAGAAAAAATGCTTTTAAAAATTAAAAAAAGCCTCTGATGATTGTGGGCTCAGCTGGGCATGGGAGGAGGGGCAGGGGAGTTTTGCTACCGGTTCTCCGAACCACCTGCCTCCATCGCTACCGGATCGGGTGATCCGGTCTGAACCGGGAGCGTTTCACCCCTGCGTGGGTCCAATATGTGCCCTGAGATTCCTCTAATGTTCATCTAGCAGCATGGCTTTCAATGATTGGGAGACCTGTGAGCTAAAACCTTATATGTCTAGAGAACAGGGTTGGAGAGAGTAATACAATAAGACCCCACAATGTCAAGCCATTCCAGACAAATGGCTGTGCAATCACTTCTTAAAGCCTCCGGTGATGAAGCACCCACAGTTTCTGAAGTGACCCATTCCATTGAGTCATTGTTCTTGCCTGTCAGAAAATTTCTCCTTAGTTCCCTGTTGGATCTCTTCTTGAAAAGTTTCCATCCAGTGGTGGGTTTCAATTTTTTTTTTACTACCGGTTCTGTGGGTGTGGCTTGGTGGGCGTGGCATGGCTTAGTGGGCGTGATTTAGTGGGCATGGCATGGGAGGGATACTGTAAAATCTCCATTCCCACCCCACTCCAGGGGAAGGTTACTGCAAAATCTCCATTTCCTCCCGATCAGCTGGGACTCAGGAGGCAGAAAATAGATGCCTATTCTGGGGCGGGGCCAGATGGAATTTTTACTACCGGTTCTCTGAACTACTCAAAATTTTTACTACCGATTCTCCAGAACTGGTCAGAACCTGCTGAAACCCACCTCTGTTTCCATCTATTACTTCTTGTCTTGCCTACAGGTCCTTTGGAGAATAGGTTGACTGCCCCTCCTCTTCTTTGTGGTAACCCCTCAAATATTGGAACATTGCTACCATGTCACCCGTAGTCTTATTTCTATATGTCCCCTCTATTTCTGATGATGATTCTCATGGCAAGGAGATTTAAATAGTGTGCTCCATTTTACCATAGAAAATGGCTTTTCTTCTGCTGCCCATACATCGTATGTCTAGTTAAAATTTTAGCTTTCTCAGAGTACATCAGCCTCTTTAATTCTCCTTCTCCTAATTGATAATTTTCTCATGAGGTTTAGCTCAAGAGTATTGTTTCTTTCCTTCAGAAATCTTTGGCTTATGCTAGGCTCATGTCAGGAAGGCCAAGATTTACAGGCTTGTACCATCTCATAAACTTACATAAAAAAACTACAAGGCAAGAAGTATCGACAACACATATTTGCTATTTCCACACTGGAGGAACAAGGAGAAATCCACCGGTGATGATATCTGTCAGCTTTACTAGGTAGACCAGACAAGAATGGCCATATAAGCTACTTCTACTGTATTGTTAGGCTATATTAACAGAATTGTGCAAATCTGAATGTACAGGTAGGTAGTCCTCAATTTACAACCACAATTAAAATCAAAATTTCCTTTGCTAAGCAAGACAAGTGAATTTTGCCCCATTTTATGATCTTTTTTGCCACCGTTGTTAAGTGAATATTGCAATTAAATTACTAACACGATAGTGAAACTGGCTTCCCCATTGACTGTGCTTGTCAGAAGGCTGAAAAAGATGATCATATGACCCCGGGACACTGCAACAAATATTAAATACATGTCTGTTGTGAAGTGATTGGATTTTGACCACATGACCATGAGGATGCTAGAGTAGCCGAAAGTGTAAAAAACAGTCATAAGTCACTTTTTTCAGTGCCATTGTAACTTCAAATAGTTCACTAAATGAATGATTGTAAGTTGAGGACTATCTGTACAATTCTCATGCCATCACCTTTACAGTCCAATAATTAAGACTGAGGGTTCCTTCTGAGCCTATTGCCCTGCCCACTATGCAGCTGTGGGCTATCCTTCCTCTTATCTCTCTAGGCAGCATTTATTTTGCCAAAGGAGCTGCTGATCCGGTTCTACAGAAGAATTATTGAGTCTGTCATCTCCACCTCTATAACTGTCTGGTTTGGTTCTGCAACCCAACAAAACAGACACAGACTTCAGAAAAAACAATTGCTACCAACCTTCCATTGAGGACCTGGATACTGCATGAGTCAAAAAGAGGGCTGTGAAAATATTTACAGATCCCTCGCATCCTGGACATAAATTGTTTCAACTCCTACCCTCAAAACGACGCTATAGAGCACTGCACACCAGAACAACTAGACACTAGAACAGTTCTTTCCTGAATTCCATCACTCTGCTAAACAAATAATTCCCTCAACACTGTCAAACTATTTACTAAGTCTGCACTACTATTAATCTTCTCATCGTTCCCACCATCCATCTCCTTCTGCTTATGACTGTATGACTGTAACCTTGTTGCTGGTATCCTTGCGATTTATACTGTCTGTTTCCTAATATGGCTGATTGCTTATTTGTTCCTTATGACTATAGTTAAATGTTGTACTTATGATTCTTGACCAATGTATCTTTTCTTTTATGTACACTGAGAGCATATGCACCAAGACAAATTCCTTGTGTGTCCGATCACACTTGGCCAATAAAGAATTCTATTCTATTCTATTCTATTCTATTCTATTCTATTCTATTCTATTCTATTCTATTCTATTCTATTCTATTCTATTCTATTCTACTTTACTCTACTCTGTTCTGTTCTATTCTATTCTATTCTATTCTACTCTACTCTACTCTACTCTACTCTACTCTACTCTACTCTACTCTACTCTGTTCTATTCTATTCTATTCTATTCTATTCTATTCTATTCTATTCTATTCTATTCTATTCTATTCAGCTGGTCTCCATGATTATATATTTAACACCTAATTAAAATGTCCTTGGAAATTATTCAGATGTTTGGGTTTCATCCAAACTACTGATAAGGTGCTCCATCAAACCATCTCCAGGTATATAATGTTATTTATATTTCCTTTATTTTGTAAAGGAATTAAAAATGACACCCTACATGTTCTGAGCCTCGGTACAGACCTATCTTGGAAAGCTGCATACATTCGTGCAGTATTTTTCAAACTTGGCAATTTTAAGGTGTGGTCTTTAACTCCCAGAACAACCCAGCTAGCATCCTGGCTTGGGAATTCTGTGAGTTGAAGCCCACATATCTTAACATGGCCAGATTTGAAAAACACTGCACTAGTAGTAATAATGTGGGGTATATTTGTAAAATGATGCCCACATGCTAAAAAGATATGAAACTCTTTTCTATATTTACTCCTCTGTTGAATGTCTTATTTTATTGACTTGTCTGTAGATATTCTATATTATTTTTTGCCATTTGCTTATTTTGTAAGGCTTTGCTCAATAAGTCCTTTCAGCTTTTACTTCATTTGTGCAAAATCTTCT